ATGCCTCACGTGTGCATGTGACTGGGTATGGATACAGCCCAGTGCGATCGCACTCAGGAGCACTACAGGACACAGGTCACATTACAGGAATAGCCAGCAGCTGGGCAGGAACATTAAGAAGAAGAAATTAAATGTAAATATAGAAACAAGTGACAGTTCTTCATACAAACTGTGACATGGATTATCTACGGCAAAAACTCCTATCTTTCCTCTTCTTGATTCAAACCTTCAGTGTGACACATAAGCAGACTCACTGGGTCCTTATAAAGCAATGTACAGCTATGTTGGCATGAATGGTATTCCAGATCAAGACTCACTTATTTTTCTGTTTACTACCTACCAGCAGCTATTTTACATACATTTATCAACAACATGGAAGAACACAAGTGAATATTCATCATTTCCCCCAAATGGGAACATCTTTAAACCATGTGTTTCCAAGTTACACAAATTGATGCCAAGTCTACACCCATAAGGAGGGGGGGGGACTGGTCTGAACAAGTTTCCTCCACCAGTGCAAGTACAAGCTGTCCCATTTCTTACACATGCGTACTGCTGGCACCAGCAACTCTGCCATGTCATGGGCAGGGTGGAGGGAGAGCTGTTTGCTTTCCTCTTTAATTCTGTGTCTCTGGAAGCTCAGTAAGATAAACACTCAAGCAAGACAGCACACAAAGGAGCATCACAGAAGACAGCATTCATAGATTGCCTGCAAGTGTTTATCTAAAGTATTGTGCTGTCAGAGCAAGCTTTTCAAGCAGGTAACTGAACATCACTGAACATTACCCAAAGATTTTTGATCAGAAGCAGAAGGGCAAAAAAGGACAAAGCAAGCATCAGACATAGTTACAGTGTTTTTATGGGTTAGCAGTATCCAGGTAGAAAATAAAAGACTAACTGAAATGATAGATTTTTATGACAGTGAAAACCTATTGCACTGTGGACTACCATGAAAGACTCATTTTCTGAAGAGCTATAAGCTACTGTTACTAATCTATGGTACCATTAAACACCCCATATAAAAACAATTATACACCATCCATTACCTCTTTAGCAGGCACAGACATTCCTCAAACAAGGTAAATCAACCCTGGATTCACTTTATCACAGAGGACTCCAGGGACTGAAGACAAAAGGTGTTTTTTGAGACTGAGGACAAGAGGTGCTTTTAAATACACGTGCACACAAAAAACAGGCAAGAGAATCAAAGACTTTTGTTGGCAGCATCAGAAATAAGTCTCAAATACAATTTAGACCATCAAAACAGTAATTAACCCCATTATTCAGCTGAATTATTAGATAGACCAGCAGCCCTCAAATGCTGTTCCTGTGTGGGGCTTTTCTGACATTCAAAAAAGCTGGAATAAGATCCTATTAATAGGTGACCCATTCTAACACCACGCTGTCACATGGTATGGAGAGCCCTGGCAAATTGCTGTTAGATGCAAAAAGGGTGTTACTCAACTGGCCAATCTGTTAATTGGTCTGAGGGAAAAGACAAGAAGAAATTAGGATACACTGTAAGAGCTATGGGAAAAGACAGACTGCTAAATATCATCTGCATAGGAGATTTTTTTCTTTACGCAGCAATCCCACAGATTCAAATGTAGCCTGTTCACCAGCATGTGTAATTACAAGCCATGCCTCACCCCTATCAGATGAAATCAATCATCAGAGAGAAAGAACAAGATGGATATAGTGAGTGTCAAGAGAATTTAAATTTGAAAACAACACTAAGATGCAAGCTAATCCAATGCTGTCTGTTCAGCATTAAGCCAAACGCATCGAGCCCTATTCCCAGAGAATAAGTAATACAGAATCTAATTTCACTGTCAATACAAAACTTATGTTATAACCTTTAATGTTTCAGCACCAAAAGACTATCCCAACTATTCAGTAGTCGCAAAACCAGCACATTTTTAGATAAATTCCAATGAATTCTGTTACAGACTTATCCCTCCATATCCACCCAATGAGGTTTTCAATCATTCAATTGAACCGTGGAGGAAAAAAGCCACACAACACCCCACACTCACATAAACTTCCTGTAAAGCAAAAAGGACAAAAAGCAAGAAACTCCACATTTTCCAAAAATGTACAGCTACTGTTATCAGTGCCCAAGATATAAGCTTGCTTCTCTCATCTGTGCTGTTTTCTGACAGGCACTGAAAATCAAGTAGCAGAATTGAAGAGAAATTGAATTCACTCCTCAGCTATGTCACCTACCCACACCACTGGTGCTGTCTCTATTCCATTCTCAAGGCTCCATTTATCTCAGATGTAGAAAATCTTAAAGTATTCATGCTATTTGTTTTTAAGCCAACTACTAAGAGGAAGAAGGCCTGAGGCACTGATGTAGCTGCATGATTAATTCAATGGCTGGGTTTTAGGACAGAACCAGAAGTCACTGCTCTGCTCCTATAGAAAGAGATTATCCCCATTACCAAGAAGTTCTGCTCCACTTCTTGTAATGAGGATTCAAGAAGGTTGTGTCAAGAAAAAAATCCTCCAAGATTTGAGTTATCAGAAAAACTTACTTAAGCTCAGTAAGAAATATGGAGGTAAAAACAAACACTTAACTTGAGGTCTGTCCCAAATTCAGAGGCAAAGATCTTCGCCTCCACTTGTAAAACCACTGTGCATGGCCAATATGCTGTTCTAACAATGTATGTACCCAGTGCATAGCTTGGTACCTTCAAGTTTCCCTTATTAACAGTTATTTAAAAGTAACAAAAAAAAAAAAAAAAACCCAACACACAAGTTTTCCCTGTCAGGAGAGAAGTTACCTGCACAGTATTTCCAATTATAGATCATAATCACTCCCCCTGTACAACTTTGACTGTTCAGTACAAAGCTTGAAGCCTTTGTGCCTCAGATAATGAGCTACTTATCTTTTTTAGAGCCTGGGAGACTTGTGGACAGGGTGGTTGAATTCACTGAAATTGGTAACTAGAGCAGCTGTGATGATAACAACCTGCGCATTCTAAAACCAGTGAAGACAACAAGAAACTTAAAACAGGCTGCCTACTGTACAGGTTATGTGTTCTGCAGACTCTCATATTCAGCAGCTTCACTAAAGAGATGCAAAATGAGTATTATCAGAAAATAGTACTGCAGTTTAATAAGCATCTTCAATTTGCCAAAAGCAAACATTCACTTCTCAAATACCTGCATGCACATTTACTGCAGCCACTTCCAGGTGAATGCACTCTGACAAAGCATAACTGCTTGTGCATTTTATTATTGTGAGGCCAATTTGTGTGACTAATTCAAGTTGCACAAACTCAAACCCAAGATGCCTATTTTTAGACAGTTACTTTAAAAAAAATCCAAACCCATTCTGAAATCAGGCTTACAGTACATTCGCAGTCTGAAATTCAGAATGGAAGTTGTTTAATGTGCTCTAATATAAATACTTTGGTTTTGAATCTGCCTATTGCATGAGAAACCACAGCTGCCCTGACCAGGCCCTAATTTCATTTGTCAGCCTAACGAATAACATTTGGCTTTCATAGAATGGCTTAGGTTGGAAGGGACCTTAAAGCCCACTCAGTCCTAAGCCCTGATGTGGGCCACCAGCTCAGGCTGCCCAGGGCCCATCCACGGCCTTGGGCACCTCCAGGGATGGGGCACTCACAACTGCAGACAGCAGTGCCAGGGCCCCACCACTCTGAGCCAAGAATTTCCCCCTAAGTCCTAACCAAAATCTCTCTTTTATGTTTTAAAAGCCCTTCCCCCTAGTCCTATCACTACTGACCCACATACAAAGGTGGTTTCTCTCCTATTAATATGCTCTCCTTAAGTACCAGGAGGCTACAAAGAGATTTCCCTAAGCCTTCTCTTCTCCAATACAACACAGAATAAGACAACACATCCTTGCTTCTCTTTCAAGCTCTTTTTCTTCTCCTTGGGAAGTTGAAAGTAAAACCATTCAGTTGCTATTGCCCTATCAACCACTGACAGATAAGCCACAAACAGTTCCAAACACAATAACACATCGCCATGGGTAAACAACCAGCGCTCAGCAATCAGTCCGCCTGATAACAAGCACACATCCACCTGCCCCAAGGCTTCAGCAGCATAGTCGTGCCCCCTACATGGGCAAGCCTCAGGAAGGCCGGACACTCATCGCTCATTAATCACATAATAGCACCAACACCAGCCCAAAGCTCGGTGCTCACAGGCACTTTCTCTTCTCCCTCTGCCTTCAGGGTCGGCGGAAGGCCCAACCTAGAGCGAGCCGGGCCCGGCCCTATCAGCGCCGTTCAGCAATACGAGGCCGGGCTACAAATACAAGGCGGGCCTAGCGCTACCAGGAACGGCCGAGGGGCTGCAGGCGGAGACTGCAGCCCTGCCCTTCCAGGAGGGCCCCGAGCAGGAAGGACGGGGACAAGGACGAGCCCTCGGCCTGGGTCACGCCGCTGATGGGCCGTTCCCGCAATAGAGAGGAAAAGGCCGAGGCCCACACCACGCTCACCTGCGGCGGGCGCTTCTTACGCCTCTACCCAGCCCCCATGCCCGAAAGAGTTTTACGCTTCTAACGTAGCACAGCCCCAAAGGAAAAGCCGGGCCCTACGCAAACACGCCCAGTGACCCCGGTCCTCTCCCTTCCTCTACGTGCCCTTATCCTCGCAACACCCAGTCCAAGAGAGAAGACGAAGAGCTCACCTCACCCCCTTACCTCAGCTCCCCTCCGCCCCGCAAAGCCCACAGAGCTCCGAGGGGCTTCTCCACTGTACCGGAAGCCCTACGAGAAGGAAGCGTCCGCCGTGTTACCACACACCAGGCGTTGTCCGGAACTAACCGGCAGCCCCGCAGGCCTCTGGGATTCGCAGTCCGCTCCCCTCAACTACAAAGCCCACAATGCAACGCGGCAGCAAACGGGGCGGGTAGAGGAGGAAAGAGGAGGAGAAGAGGGCATCCAATCAGAGCTCAGATCTGGATGAGTGGGCGGGGCCTCGGCGGGGCGGGGCGGGGCGGGGCGGGGCGCGGCGGGCATATCCCGGCGCAGGCAGCGGTGGCGGCAGTACTTCTCACGGTGGAGCGTGGAGGGGGGTGGTGCTGAGCTTTTGTGCTGAGCTGGGTAAGCGCTGTTAGCCTGTT